CGTTACAGCACACAACTGATTCGCCATATGAGGATCCACACCGGGGAGAAACCTTTTACATGTCTGGAATGTGGGAAGAGTTTCGGCCACAGGAAAACCCTGAAAAACCACATGAGAATCCACACAGGGGAGAAACCGTTTGCGTGCTTGGAATGTGGGAAGAGCTTCAGGCAGAGCGCGCCCCTCACTTCTCATCAAAGAAGCCACAGAGAGAGAGAAAGAAAAGTTCAAGTGCTTGGAGGGTCACGAGACCTTCAAGAAGGGAAGGCATCTGATTTCCCATCGAAACATTCACCCCCGTGAGAACTTGTCAGGTCTGCGTCCAGGTATTGCATCAGGGAAAGATTGAATTCTGTTTCCTATAGAAACAAAGAACGAGAACAGATTTTTGTAGTTCCCAAAGAAACACTGGGGGGGAATCTGATTTTCTAATGACTGCCGTGGATTGTCCTCTTTTCCCCTTCACTGTCCTTTTTCTTACACCAAAAAGCAAACAAAACCAAACCATGGAAATGCAGTTCCCTTTCTAAGATGAGCCCTCCAGCCCTCTCCCCCCAACCCCAAAAGGCCTTTCCCCCCTTTGTCCCCAACGTCCCCAAAGAACCATCCCTGGGATGAGAGTTCTGCTTTCTCACCCCCAGAAGCAACTTTTTCTCAGCTAGGGGTGCAAACACCCCCTCCCATTTTACATATGCCCTTATGATATGTGGCCACCCTCTCTGTGGCCGTGAGAAATAGGGACACTCTCCCTTTGGGGGTCAGCTCTGTACTGGTTTCTCTTGCCTGCCTGCCTTCCTGCTTTTTTGCTCCTCATTCAACTGACCAGGGATGCAGGGGTCCTTTCCTCCTGTACTCTTTACTTTCTTTCCCTTCTCCTGGATGCTCTCCATTGTGTGAAAGCACAAAAACGAGAACCCCAGCAGCTTGACGCTTGCCTTTGGTTTTGAAAAAGCATCGCATGTCACCCTAGAGTAGGCACATTGACTCTTGTGGTGATTGGACAAGTCCACTCCTTCATAAGTTGCCATGATTCCAATAAGCCTCCTGTTGTTGTGATTTCCTCCGTTAAGCTACAGCATTTCAGCCATTGCACCATAATGGCTGCTGGATGGGCTTCTGTGTAGCTAGGAAATCCTGTTTTCTAGATGAAATCTTGTTGATTCTAATAGGCCCCTGTAAGAAGGTTCGGGATTTGACTTTGGCTGTTCCTCTTTTTGTAACACAAAAGATGAGTCTGGATTATGGATAAACAAACTTTTATTAACATAGCCAACTGTTTGTTTAACTCATTTGAACAACATACCGATAACTGGGGAGGTGAATTCTCCCATAATCACAACAACGATTTCTCACTATTAACGTCTCTTAATAATATGTTCTTGCCTCCTTCTCTTGATTGGTTGGATCTCTCAGACAACGGTTTCGCACAGCACATGGGGTCCCGCAGCACGGGTGGCGAGCCCAATCTCCTCCTAACGTTTTTTTCCTTCATCAATCTCGGGTCTACTGGATA